TCCCGTCGTAGAGGCCGAGCTGTGGCACTTTTATCTTCTTCGGGACGGCTTCCCGTAAGATGTCAGAGGGAGAGAGGTGAAGCGTTGTCCGCGACCCGGGGGATCGGTTGTGCGCCAGATTGTGGATTGGGAGGGAGCGATAGCTCACTTCCGGAGGGGTGCCGACCTTCTAGTTCGGCGATTCTGCGCTTGAGTGCTGCGACTTCGTCAGTGTCGCGCCCTATAGCTTTGCCTCGCTTGATGACCTCCCGGAGATCGCGATTGGCTTGGCTCTTATCACCCAGGCATTGGTAAACAGAACGGCGGACGATCTGGAGGCTCTGCTTCGGACGGCTTTCTCCCGTCCGCTCGGTAGATGCCGGTCTGGTACTCTTGTCGCGGCGGTCCCGGGCCTCAAGGTTCGGTGATTGGGCCGTGGTTTTGGATTTCGTCGGGTTCTTCTGCCCCCCGGCCTCCTTTTCGGGGGTATGGAGCAGGGTGTTGCCGGGACTTTCCTTGGGCGCCACGGTGTTTCCCCCGGCCGCCTGGCTGGCGAGCGCCTTCGCGAAGACCCCTTCGAGGACTTTGAGGACGTCGGGGTGCTGCATGGCCGCAGCGAAGGTGGGAACTGGCGGGACAGGGACTATGGTCCCCTGCTGAGCGCGGCGAGAGGTCTCTCCGCCGTTGCGCCGACGAGACTGGGTGCCGGACTGCTGGGTAGACTCATTGTGGCCTGATGAAGGCATTTTGAGTAGTCTTTGGAGTGAAAAGTAGGAAAAAGATGGGTGTGATGTGGGGTCTCACAAGATCGAAAAATTGACACCAAGTAACTTATGGTGCCCTCCTTCTAGCGCCAAATTGTTGACGGACGTTTCCGGTCAACGGTTAAAGAAATAAGAAAAAGGAGTATGAAGCAGAAAAAGATAAGGGAAGCGGATTAATTATGATTTTATTAACTGATCACGAGGTCGGCCTCTCGTACGAGGTCGGCGCTTGCGATATTCTTACAAATTCTTAAAGTGATTTATTACAAGTTTAGAGAGAGAAAGCAGAGAGAAAGTTTGAAAGTTGGAGATTCAACAACCCAGAAATAAATGAGATGGGTTGCTATTTATAGTGGCCTTAAATGTGACACTGTTCAGATACTGTTCACCAATCTTGTCATACAATACTGTGGCAGAGCAGTTCAGTGTCTCCCTGACAGAATTTAATGTGATTTGAGGTTTTCCTCATCATTGCCTGGCAGGCATTTAATGCACACATGGGGGTCATTTAATACTGGCAGGCTTTATGTCTTGGCTAGTGGGTGTAGGCCTGTAGGCTACGGCGCCCCGTCCAATCGCCAATGATTGCTCTTCAAGTGGCATTATTATGTCATTATCGGGCTCGACATCTGTCTCTGGGGGAACCGTCCTGGAACCTCAGGCTGGCTTCCGATTCCGTTTTGTTCCTCCGGCCCTGGGAAGCCTTACTCCGGCCCGTCACCTACCAGGTCGGGACCGGTATTCGGGTGTCGCAAACGCCGGGCTCATGGATGAACCCGCGGGGGTATCAGGGCAATAAAAGCTGGAATTCAGCTTGGCACGCGCGAGTTGGTGGGAGAGCCGGTTCGGGTTTGCGAACCGGTTTGGCTCGTGGGAGTTGCCATATGTCCGGTTTCCTTTTGAGGTGAACTCGGATGTCAACATCACGACTATCAGATTGCACAATAAACATCAAAACAGGCCGAAATCAATTTTTTTCAACCAAAAGATAATATAAAAAATAATAAATAACATTATTAACATAAATATAATTTTAATATAATAGGATAATTCTGTAGTACACTCTATACATCAATATGTTGCACTTTATAAAACAACACGTTGCACTTTAGAAAACAACATGTTGCACTTTACCACGACTATCAGATTGCACAATAAACATCGAAACCGGCCGAAATCAATTTTTTTCAATCAAAAAATAATATAAAAAATAATAAATAACATTATTAACATAAAATGATTTTAATATAATAGGATAATTCCGTTAACCGGATCGAATAAACTAAATAATTATATTCATTTTCAATTTTTTTTGGGACAAAAGAACGGTTGGTTCGATCTGCACAATACATACCGACACCGTGCACCATAGTGATGTACGAATTGCACCTTAATAGTTGTTAAATTGCACCGTATATTTCGTTTACATATATATAATTTTTTTAATTAGAAAATAATATAAAAATGTCAAATAAAAACAATATTAAATAATAATCATGTTTTTTTATAATAAATAATATAATTTATGTCAATTATTTTGATTATTTATATTAACCGAAATTAAACCGATTACGTCGAAACCAAAATTTTTATTTCGAATTTTAAAATTTCGGTTCAATTATCATTTTTTACATTAAAACACTCAAAATCCCAATTACATGTACAACATATCAAACTTAAAAATTGCAAATAGATCTCTCATATTTCTTTAATTTCCAAAAAATAGACCCCCAAATTAACAGTCAACATCCATAAACGCATTCCTCTCTGCACATCCCGCTAGTAACTTCCGAATAGATCTACCGCAGTCATCGTCTCTTCCGTCGGCTTTGAGAACGGAGGTTCAGATGGTGATGTCGTTGCCACGAATTGACGACTTTCTCCGAGTTGCAGGGCAGAGTGGTCGTGTCTGTGGTGGCGGGTCGATTTGATAAGGTGGTGGCCGTGCTGTTGGGGAATTGGTGATGGCTATAGCGACGTGCCGGAAGGATGATGGCGACGACAACCTGCGACTGTGGTGGCGGGGCTGTCAAAAGCAGTGGTGACGGGTTTGTTGAGTGGCGGCCGGCTGGTAGGTGACGGTGGTGCCGGGCTTTGTTGGATGCGTGGACGATGACGTCGGCAATGCTACAGGCGTCGGTGCTTCGACGGTCGGGTTGTGGTGATTTGACGGTCGGGCGGCGTCGGTTTGAATGCCCGATCGGCGGCGTATTGATGACCGGCGGAGACGCTTTGTCGGCCGGAAGGCGGCGCTTAGAAGGAAGGGCGGTGGCGCTTGGAAGATCTGCCGGCGGCGCACTTAGAAGGCTAGGTGGCGAGAGGCTGCCGGGCCAGTGTGTGTGTGTGTGTGTGTGTGTGTGTGTGTGTGT